AAAAGCACCACAGTAGACGCTCTCTTTTAATTAATCAGCCACTCTGCCTTTAAATACAGCATATTGTCTTCCATGTCAGGAACATGGAGGGAAAACACGTAGTATGTTTTGTTCAATGTTAAATCCACATCACTTAACATAATGGTCAGTATAGTTAAAAAATCAAAACAATTATGCAAACATGAATGAATGAGTAACTTCTGCTAGCAATGATGGTTGGTTTCCCAAAGACATGAAAGTCAGAATTTGAAGTGAAGAGTCCCAGAGATGTTATTGAACATTTTCTTTTCTTAATTTCCTTCTCCAACTGTGCCAGGGATACTAAGCAATGAGATAAAAACCCACCATTAAGTGTGTATGTTTGTGTCTGTGTCTTGAATAGGGCAGTTGGTAAGCAGTTTCACTTGCACTCCTAAAGACCCCACAGTTTATGCACAACAGTTATCAGAAGAGTACTTGTTGATATTGATGTATTGATAATCTTAATAATAACTTAATGATTAAAAATGAGCCAATGACTTCTGTCTTCTTTGGGGCTTTTTAGAATGAAATAGATGCTTTGATTTTATACAAGTTGTGTGTTTCTCTTCTCACATCCTTATTCCCAAATATTAAGTCTTTCAGTTATAACAAATAAATCACACACATAGACAAAAAGTCTTCATGAGTTAAGTTAGGGAATTAGAAAAGACTGATGTGGAATTGGCATTGGATAACAAAGAGGACATGACTGGGATAAAGGGTTTGAATTAGTTGAGTAAAGGTTGCAGTATGGTGAACAATGGTATGTTTAGCCAATCTGAGCGCAGCATGTTGTATGAGTGTGAAAGGAAGTGCACGTGCAAATCAGTGGGATGCAGGGTCCTGGAAACATAAGGTTAAATAAAGTAGGCAGTTTGTAATCTTCAAGAATGCCTTTATATTCAGTGCTGTATATCCAGCACATACTGCAGTGCCTGATACCACAGTGGATGCATAATATTTGCTGTGTGAATGAATGAATGAACAGATGAGTGAGTGAGAAACAAGAAGATACACTGAGGTTTTCTGGGCTACAAAAGAGACCTACAGCATATTTGGAAGCTGATTTTTTTTAATATAAAATGGGAACATTTTGAAAGGCATCCCAGACCTGAGGGCCCATGGCCTACCTAGAAAGGAGTCTAGAAATGGGGATAGGTGAAAAAGGCCATTGTACATATATGGAAAGAATGAACAAGAAAACAATCCACTACTGAGAGTGGGTGCAAAGAGAACCTGCTAGGCCTTCCCACTGCATGTGGGGAACCTGAAGAGTTCAGAGCAGTAAAGTCTGGGACAAGAGAGGAAGGAGAAAAGCAGAAGGATGCCTGGCTCATGTCACTCTCTAAGGCTGCATCTTTGTTCATGATGGTGTTGGCACTGTCTTCCTACATCTGTGGGGGAAGCAGCACCGATACCTCTCTAAATTGGTAGCTGGACACAGATGGTAATGGAAACTGTAACAACAGGTGATCACTTAAGGGGTTAAGTAAAGAGGACAGGCAAGAACAGCATGCTGTGAACCATAATTTGGAAGACAGGAGAAGATTCAGAAGACTTTAATACTGAACCCAAGAGAGCTGCAAGGGAAAGAAATGACCCATAGTGTTGCAAGGACATTGCAGTTAAAGAAAATGGAATATTTTAATTTTAATACCGTGAAGAGGGGGCTGGAATGAAGTAGGGAAAGTATATACCAATAGAAATGAAATTGCTATCACAGAATACAAAAATTGGATCTTAACCATTTAAAACAGCAATGAACATGAGATGAATGAATGTTTCCTGAGTTGCTATAAGCTGTTTCTGCGTAAAAGATTTATTAATGGACACATTGTGACTGTGCGACCTCTCTCCCGATATTGAACTATTTAAATACCAACTTCTTTTAATAAATGTAGGAAACCTTTGGAAAGCCAGGTGTTTCAAACTTTGTGTACTGTCTTATGAAGGACACTTCAGTAAACAGAAAAAAGAGATATTGGCTTATAAAAACATAATAGTGATAAGGCTAAGATACACAGAAGCAATTTCCTATCAAAATAATAAGCTTACCTAGGATACTTAAATATCCCTACTGGTTTTTATCAGAGGAATAATAGGTCTGCCGTATGCAGTTATATTGATTCAACATGAATGAAGGCATAAAACAATATTTCTGTTTGTAAATGAACATTACAGTCAACCACCTAAAATTAATTTTGAATTCCTCATGTGTTTGTAACTTAAATTTACTTTACTTTACTACTTGAATATAATATTTAATGTATTAAATCAATGAAATTTCTAGAGATCCAGGAGCTACTTGTTGAGTTTTTATATATGTGTGGATTAGCCAGGTATCTTTGGAGCTTAGATCATTTCTTGGGCACTGTTTGATTAAGTGGCACCTGGGAGCAGGTAAAGTGAAGGTAAATGTGAGTGACAGCTAATGTCATTCAGTTTTAATCACACTGTTTTGGTTGGTCAGATAAAACTAAAGTGGGAATTTTTAAAAAACAATAAATTCTGGACAAGTATTTTTCTAGATAAACAAACCCATAATCAAAAATCATTTTTGCTTTAGATGGTGTATTGATAATAAAGGTGCATGGAATTCGTATGCCCATTGTCTCCACTGCTCAGTGAAAGAGGACTTGTGGAAAGATCTATAAAATTCCTCATATAATCTTTGAACTACATGGTGAAACCACTCTTTTACTTGCTCCTTTGTACTGTCATCTTGAAGGATTTCTAAAAGATTCTATGTACACTCAGTATTTGGATGTATAGGAGACTGTCATTGAAGAGGCATCTCAAATTGAGGCCACCAGAGTTCCTTCCCCACTACCAGTAAATCAGAGAGAGAAAAAAAAAAAACCACTTTAAATACTCTGCATATATTTACATGGGATATCAAAGAGTTCCAAACTCCAATTATATAACATAAATTAATTAGTGCAGCCTACTGCAAAGCCCATATTGAAACTCAATATCCAGGGCAATAACAGCCTGGAAATACCTAGCATGTCTTAAAGCCAGTTAGCTTTTTTCTTCTGGGAATATGAGGTGTATCAGTCTGTTTTCACCCTTCTATAAAGAAATGCCTGAGACTGGGTAATTTATAAAGGAAAGAAGTTTAATTGACTCCATTCTGCATGGCTGGGGAGACTTCAGGAAACTTACAATCATGGTGGAAGACACCTTCTTCACAAGGCAGCAGGAGAGAGAAAGAGTGTGTGAAGTAGGAACTGTCAAACACTTATAAAACCCATCAGATCTTGTGAGAACTCACTCACTATCATGAGAACAGCATGGGGGAAACCGCCACTGTAATTCAACCCCTCTCTCCACATGTGGAGATCGTGGGGATTATAATTCAAGATGAAATTTGGTGGGGGACACAGCCAACCCGTATCAGGAGAGTTAGGCAGAGATACCTGCCCAGGTAGATAAAGGAGCCCATAGTGATGGAGGTAGGTGCTCAATACAGGCAATCAGATTTGGAGCTGCTTTGTTCTGAGTTTCTGTATTTTATTCTCTTTTCCGGTAAAAACTGCATCTGCACACACACACACACACACACACACACACACACTGCAAACATGTTCTTGTGCTTTTTGAACTCCGGTGAGGACTAAGTGGCACCCATTGTCCTTAGTTAGGTTTCTTTCTCTAGATCCATGGAGCACCGGATAGGAGAGCCAGTGAACCCGCCAGATGTTAAAACTGCAGGGCTACGTTTTCGTTTTCCTGGCTCGGCACAGCTGTGCACTGCCTGAAGCGCTCTTCTTCTCTGTTACCTGCCTTGAGAAATTCTCTTAATAGTCCTCAGCTTCAGCATGGTCAACTCTAAACCCCTTACGCGTTGTAGTCACACAGAGCTTATTTTAAATTTCAAGTTTGCTTGGATGGCCTTGGACAAGTTATTACCTGCCTTGAGGCTGGCTTTTCTTGTGCATGTATAAGAAGATGAGATTTTTTTTTTTTTTTAATTTTTTGGTTAGGGCTGTTGTAAAGATCAAATAAAATATAATTACTAAGTATCCCAAACATAGTATACATCCGTAGCCATTAGTTCCTCACCTTCCTTTAAGACTCAATCCAAGTGCTAATCAAATGGGAAGTCTCACAGTCCACTCAGGGATCTTCAGGTACCACCTGCCTTTATAACAGTTCTTCTCACATTGTATTGCACTTACTTGCTATTTGAGTCCTGAGGACTGACATACAATAGCCCCCCTTCAAGGGACTGCTGAGTTGTGGAAGGCGATAGCAATGGCCACAAGGAGGTGATGTCTGTCACAGGATGTAGATGTTTCAGAATTGTGGAAATTTAAGCAGTAAGCAGCCATCTCATCTCCCACCTCAATGTAATTTCATGAAAAATTTACTTCAGAGTAGCTGGAAGAATTTAGATAATTACTGCATTCATTTTAAAAAATCTCCATTTAGAGGAGGTTCTTCCCCCATTCTTTCTGGCCTCACTCCCCTCTGGGGAGGACAAAATTGGGAAATCAGCTTGGGACTACTGTTGGAAGTAAGAGACGTCTGTGAATGTCATGTTAAATTAACACTGGGGAAATCATGGGGAAGATCTGTGCGTTTCGTCTGCATTAGTCAGCAGTGTTCCAGCACAGAGCACCTGTATGTGGAGACAGCTTTAGGTATGAGAGCATATATCTAAAAAGATTTTCCCAATAATGTGTCTGCCCTAAGAAGCAAACCATTTTACTCTATCTATTCTAAATCACTAGCCTCTAAACTGCCTATGAAGTGCATAAAATAATCTATTGCATTGGGAGAAAAAAAATCAAGCTTCTATTGGTATTAGTTTTGTCTCATCCTTTTAAGTTTCTATTTTCATGTGTTCTTTATACACTATGGAATAGAACACATGTATGCCTTACAAATACATAGATCTATGTGGGGAACTCAATTTTTTGATGAGAGGAAAGATGGTTTAGATGACAAATACAACTTTTCCTTTTCCCAGACTGTGGTTTTGTGCTTGCTCACCAAAGCTAACCTCAGCATGCTCAAAAGGAAGCAGAGTTCCAGGGTGGAAGCCCAGCCAGTCACTGACTTTGGTCCTGATGAGTCTCTGTCGGATAACGCTGACATCCTCTGGATTAACAAACCAGTAAGTTTCTTCTTTAAGTATGGAGAAGCGTAAGTGAATGTAAGAGAAATTTGATTGACAAATGCAAATATCATGTACCTTTGGCTTCAAAATATCTGAGCTGCAGTAGAATATGGATGAGGTTCAGAGTCTGGAAGTAGAGAACAATCCAATGAAATGGTGAGATGTTGCTATGAGTTACTCACATGGAAAGATGCACCAGGTGGTCCAATCCCCTCCTCTCCCCTCCCCACACTGCACCCTGTCCTCAGAGTCCCGCAGTGTAGTGATGATACCACTTCTCAGGCTGATCCAAATCTGGGGTCCATGATGAGCAACCTGTTCTTAACGAACTTCCTTTACTTGTTGTCAACGTGCCTGAATCCATGAGACAATAAGCACATGTTTGGAATTAAAGGTTTCCTTCTGATTTGCAAGTTTTGAGTAAAAGGTCAATGAGATAATGAATAGTATCTCTGAAGAATTTGTCACCTTCTCTGCCTAATTAAGTTGATGAGGATTTGAGAGGAAGAACTGCTAGGCTAGGCACCACTGTATGCCAGAAAGCACAGCAACCAGAGCTAAGTCTGACAGGTACGCATGTCTATGAGTGTTGAAAACTCAGCTCTGCAAAACCGAGCAGGATCAACTTCTTACTCATCTCATGGTTCGTGCTGAAGTAACAAAAGGAAATTACCTGTTGCCTCTTGCAGTGCTTGTTTTTCCCTTAACCATGATACACACAGGATCTGCTTGGACTCTTTGCTGTCCTTCCCAATCTGTCTCCCTCTAATCTGCCCTCCAGATTCCTTCCCCAGCCTGCTCACATTTGTTTACCTATTTCTATTTTTATTCACATCAACCTTTTGCTTTATAATCATGGAAACATCTGTATTACCTTCATTACAAATTAAAATCTGTTAGTATGACATGCCTGCTTCTTTTCATTCAGGACCTAACCTGTCCAGTAACTGCTCCTTTCCCATGTCAGCACAACATCCACTCAAGCCCCATCAGCAGACTCCTACTCCTCTAGGCTCTCTGGCTTGTTCACGCTGCTTTCCTTTGCTCGTACTGCTCCCTGGCCCCAGTGACCCTTTCCCGGCTCCTCTGATGAGTCAAATCCTCCTCATCCATTAGGACTGGCTGAGATGTCACCCCTGGCATCCTCCTCTGAAAGGTTTATTTCTACCACAGACGGAATGACCCTCTCTTCTCTTTCCACTTAGCCTGTTTTATATTTGTATATAAATACAATGTTATCTATAAATAACTGTATTTTTTATATACATCATATGTGTATATTTACATTATATACATTGTAGATCATGTATATATAATACATATATTTATGGCTCTATTGTCTTATGTATATATACATGTTATATGCACATACGTATAAACATATAACAGGTTATATAGATATCACATATATACACATTACATATACACATATATGTGTTAACACTATGCATATTACCTATACATATAAATGTCATGTATGTATAACATATATACTTGTTATATATGCGTATGTGTTAGATGCATGTAAGATATACATATATGTATACATGCATATAACATGTGTATGTAATATGTGCATGTGTTATATACATGAGACAATATACATAATATATGTATATTATGTCTTATCTAGAACATGTTTTATAATGTTGTATAATATAACATGTTTTTGCCTCTTGCAGTGCTTGTCTTTCCCCTAACCATGATACATGCAGGATCTGCATGGACTCTTTGTTTTCCTTCCCAGTCTGTCTTTCTCTAACCTGCCCTCCAGACTACATGTATTTACATGTATGTGTATATACACATAACGTATTATATACATACATATAACATGCTATGTGTATATACACACATTTTTATATATATAATACATTCAAAGGTGTTTTACTTCTTGGACTGCAAAATAGGAGTCAGAAGTGTGTTGCTTCCATGTTTTGTTTCCCGCACCCAGCATTCTGACACATAGTAGGCCTTTGTTCACGCTTAGAGAATTGAATGGAATAGAGAATGAAGCGCCCCTAACTCTTTCTTAGCGTCCACCTTACTACAGAACTTTCTGCGAAGTTATGAAGAAGGTAGTATCAAAGATGTAGCCTTGGAGGCACTTACTAAAATTACTAATGCTTCGTTAAAATTCTGTCTTTAAACTAAAAACTGGTTTGTTGTTGAAGAACCTGTATTTGGAAGCTCTTTTGTGTAATTAGATTCTTTACATTGAAAGTCCAGATGGGGCTAAATTCACACACCGATGTTTACTGAAGTGCTTCCAAATTGCATGAAAGATACATCAACCCTTAAAGTAAATTGAATCATCAGTGGCTTGTGTGTTATGGATTTAGCAGCATAATATCTTCATGTAAATATTATAACTGTCAGATAAATATTGTAACCCACTCATCAGCTGCAAGTGTCTGAGTCTCCTGAAAGTTCTGACAGTCTTTTCTGTTTTTCATCTTGAGTGTTTGCTAGTATACATAGCTGCAGAATCCGTCTACCACAACCTAATTTTTTTTCAGAGACTATAATATCAAAGAATTATCATGATTTCATATAGGTCCAACATAGTCAATAAAAACATATTTGGATTACGTTTAAGAATTGTATACTAATTGATTAACTGGTGATATTAATTGTGTGGGTTTAGCATGCAGATGCAGTTAAGTATTTTGTTAACCCTAGATATTAGTGTTTGTAATAAAATATTGAGTATGAGGGATTGTATGTCCTGTACATATATTCATGTAAACACAAACATACTTATCTTTAATTCTTTCTTCTTATTTTGGAGTTAAAGAAAATCTTCAGATAGCAGACATGCCTCTAGTGTTGCACAGAAAGTTATTTTACGGAATTTTGAAAGATGTATGGGCTAAATTTGTATAAAATATGTTCTCCAAAATAAAGAGAAAAATCTATTCATTATTTTGTTAGATGTAGGATGAGACCAGATTTTTAAAAAGTTTCTTTGTATTTTTATACAAAGACATTATACGTAAGATACAAATAGAAAGGAAATTCTAAATAGGGGATGTGTTATGTATCAATTCATTTAAAAAGCATTTCTGATCTACTATGATAGGCCCTTGTGCGAGATGTTAGGGAAGTTACAGTAAATATAGTATGACCCCTAATTCTAGGTACTTATAGTACAAAAATGAAAAAAAAATAATGGCACATCAAGTTCCTATGTGACTAAATTACAAACACATATTTTAATTGAACCAGAATCTTCCTATATTGTAGTCCGATGCCAGGAGGTTATCAGATGTTTTGGGGAGCCTGATCAGGTTCCATCTAGGCTTTGGGTCTTCGTGATGCATGACCCCAGAAATGCCCCCACCTTTCTATCTTAATGTGTTTATGTGGAAAATAGGTGGCTTGAGAATTAAATGATATAAAAACATGTGAAAGTATTTTAGCACATTATATGCACTTAGATGTTAGTTTTCTTCTTCTTCAACTCCGTATTAGTGACCTATTTTAACTTCAGTATTATATTTTCCACTTAGTGTGGTTCATAATACAAGTTTGAGATTTCAGTTATGGCACCATGTAATAACTCTGGACTATCGTTGCAGTGGGTTCACTCTTTGCTGCGCATCTGTGCCATCATCAGCGTCATTTCTGTTTGTATGAATACGCCAATGACCTTCGAGCACTATCCTCCACTTCAGTATGTGACCTTCACTTTGGATACATTATTGATGTTTCTCTACACAGCAGAGATGATAGCAAAAATGCACATCCGGGGCATTGTCAAGGTAAGCATTCCCATATCATTTAAACTAAGAACCTAAATGCATCGAAAATCTTAATCCGTTTATCATATTTGCATGTTCATTTCAGTGAAACAAAACATCATTTTATCTTATACATATTGAAGACCTTTTTAAAAAGGCGTAACTCCAGAGATTGGGAGAAATTGTAGCATGAGAGTATTTTAAAAGTTAAATAAATTCTATAAGACACAAAGTCTTGGAATATCTGGGAAGGAACAAGATGGTTTGACTAATAGCTGTGTGAAGTCCAGAGTAGGGTTATTCATGCCACCTAGGGCTGAGCCCGCGACCCAGCACAGGGGCTGGCCCAGGGAAGCACCTTATTTTTTGTTGGCTTATGGAGTGCAGCATCAGAGTCACATGGTAGAGTTAGAGCATGATAATACTGTAGCAGGATATCATTTACTTGATGTGTTTTGAAGATACGAAAGTGGGGGGAGGGGAAGGACATGAGATGGTAAAAATTTCTGGGACCAAAAGGAAAATAATATGTCATGTGAAATTAGTAACAATTGGAAACAATAAATATAAAAATTTTTAATTGGAAAATAAAGGAAAAGAAAAAAAGAAAATTTCTGTCACTGGATGTCTTTTCCTTTTGTAGCACTGATCTTTACATAGGTTAAACATATGTAGATGATGCTGTCCCTAGAGTATTTAAAATTGTACTATTTGGGGAAACAGTAATAGCAGTGCAGATTTTAGGGTTTGGCAAATGACAGACGACTCAGATCCTAGTTCTTTCACTTACTGTTGTATCAGCATCTCAAGTTAGCTAATTTTGGTGGGAAAGTGTTTTATTTTGTACAAGGATTTTGAAAATCTACTGAGACAATGTAATGATCAGTCAATTTCATTGCTTCCCTTTTATACATAATTCATTGTGTACCATCCTTGAAAGACAGAGATCACAGACAATGCATTACCAGGTTCATGTTTAACTTTTTATTGTGGACTTTAAAAAATTTACCCCAAAGTATATTACAGTTATAATGTGAATCCCTGTAACTAAACATCAACAGTTATCAATATTTAGCCAATTCTGTTTCATTTTAAAGCAAATCTGAGAAACCAAGTCATTTCAGAAATCATTCCTTTTGTATTGATGACTGATAACATTTTCTTTTTTATATAACCACCATACCATTATCATATATAGCAATATTTTATATATGATAAAATATTTGTAACAAGACTTAGCAATAATTCCGTAGTGTAGGCTAATACGCAATCCATGTTCATATTTCCTGAATTGTCACAAATTTTTTTTTAATAGTTGGTTTCTTCAAATCAAGACTCAGACATGGTTTACATAGTATATTTGATTGTTTTTGTTTTTGTTTTTGAGATGGAGTTTCACTCTTGTTGCCCAGGCTGGAGTGCAATGGCACGATCTCGGTTCACTGCAACCTCTGCCTCCTGCATTCAAGCGATTCTCCTGCCTCAGCCTCCCGAGTAGCTGGGATGACAGGCCTGAGCCACCACACCTGGCTAATTTTGTATTTTCAGTAGAGATCGGGCTTCCCCATGTGGGTCTCGAACTCCCGACCTCAGGTGATCTGCCCATCTCGCCCTCCCACTTATGTTTCTTAAGTCTCCTTTAAGTCTCTGTAAGTCCATTAAGTTTCAGCTTTTCACATCCTGCAAAAAAATTATCTGGGTCATTGATCCATTGGGAAACATGTGTCTTTTGTCTTGTGGAAGATTCTACATTTGAGATTTGGCTGATTGCTTCCAGATGGTGCCCTTTAATAGTTTCTGTGTACTCCATGTCCTCTGAACTGCTTTGTATTTTGACCAGCAATGCCCACAGGTGCTTCTTTCCCACGTGGTCACCGCAAAATATGTCAGACTTCTGGATATTTGCCAGTCTGAAGGGTGGGAAACGGTAATCCACTGTAGTTTTAATTTGCATTTCCCTTTTGAGAGTGAGGTTAAGCGGGATTTTATGTCTCAAGAGCCATTTTTAAGTTACATTTTTTCATTCAAATTTTGGCCACTCTGTGTGTGTTGGAAGTATCAGCCCTTTGTGCTATAACTTGCAATTGTTTTTCCCAGTTTGCCATTGTCATTGGCTTGGTTCGTGGTTATTTGTACCATACACAATTCTTATCCACATCATGGACAGACTTTCCATTGTCTGCATTTTATGTCATACAGGAGTGTTTTTTAGGTTTCCTCATATAGATTTTGCACATTCTTAGTTATATTTATGCTTTGGTATTTTATGTAATTATTTTGTTATCTGTATGAGGTCTTATCTTCCATTACCTATTCTAACTTGTCCTTTTAAATGAAGGCTGTTGGTTTCTATACATTAATATTATATTCTGCTACTTTACTAAATGTACTAGATTCTTGTATTAGTCGTAATAGTTTTCCCACTAATTCTTTTGATGCTTCCATATCATCATATCATATGCAAATAAAGAAAGATTTGTCTTTTTCTTTCTAATTTTATGCCACAATTGCTTTTACTTACTGAAAGTAAAATAAATGAATTGACTAACACTGTCGGTAAAATTTTAATAGTAATAGAGGTAGTGAACATTTTTGTTTCATTTTGGTTTATCTAGAACACCTCTAGTGTTTCCTCATTAACTAGTTTGAAAAATTGGGGTTTGAAGTATGTATATATTATCAGATTAAGTGAATAAACATTAACTTCACATTTTGAGAGTTGTATCATGACTAGCTTTTTAATTTGTCAAATGATTATTTTTAATTTGTCAAATTACTATTTTTTCCTTAGTGCTTGTAATAGAAGAGATTTTTAAATATTGAGTTATCCTTCTGTTCCTATAAAGAAAAATCCCTACTGGGTCAACATACATTTTTATTCTATTTTAATGTGCTGTTTTGTTATATATGTTTTATTTTCCTTGTTTTAAATTTGGTCTAATCTTTGCCAGGTTTTGATATTAGATTTTTCATGTCTATGTAGGTGGTGGGCATGTATGCATGCTATAAAATAGTCTGAGCACTCTTGAATTGTTTTCACTTTAAAAAGTTTGGTATAAACCACCTGTGAAACCATCTGGTCCTGCTGCTTTTTTGTGGGGCTTCCTTTGTGGTATTTCCTATTTCTTCTATGGAAATTAGCTGTTTTATTTTTAGTTTTATTTTATGCTGTTTTGTTTTGTTTTATTTTTGAGACGGAGTATCGCTCTGGTCGCCCAGGCTGGAGTGCGGTGGCACAATCTCGTCTCACTGCAACCTCCGCCTCCTGGGTTCAAGCTATTCTCCTGCCTCAGCCTTCCAAGTAGTTGGGACTACAGGCACATGCCACTGTGCCAGGCAAATTTTTTGTATTTTTAGTAGAGATGGGGTTTCACCATGTTGGCCAGGATGGTCTTGATCTCCTGACCTTGAGATCCACCCGCCTCAGCCTCCCAAAGTGCTGGGATTACAGGTGTGAGCCACCGTGCCAGGCCTATGTGTTCATTTTTTAGTAGAGACAAGATCTGGCTCTGTTGCCTAGGCTGGAGTACAGTGGTGCAATCATAGCTCACTGCAACCTCCAACTCTTGGGCTCAAGAGATCCTCCCACCTCATCCTCCCATGTAGCTGGGACTACAGGTGTGTGCCACCATGTGTGGCTGATTTTTAAAACTTTTTTAAGAGAGAGGGTCTTGCTATGTTGCCCAGGCT